CACCACCATGCCCAGCTAATTTTTTTTGTATTTTTAGTAGAGACGGGGTTTCATCATGTTGACCAGGATGGTCTCGATCTCTTGACCTCGTGATCCACCCGCCTCGGCCTCCCAAAGTGCTGGGATTACAGGCTTGAGCCACCGCGCCTGGCCTCTCTTTTTTTTTTTTAAGATGGGGTTTCACCATGTTGGTCAGGCTGGTCTTGAACTCCCAACCTCAGGTGATCCGCCCACCTTGGCCTCCAAAGTGCTTGGATGACAGGCGTGAGCCACCACGCCCAGCCTCTCTGATGCTCTCTTTCCCTCCCTCCCTCTCTCTCCCCCGCTTTTCTTTCTTTCTTTTTTCCTTTTGCAACAAAGTCTCACTCTGTCACCAGGCTGGAGTACGGTGGCACCATCTCAGCTCACTGCAACTTCTGCCTCCTGGGTTCAAGCGATTATCCTGCCTCAGCCACCCAGGTAGCTGGGACTACAGGCATGTGCCACCACACCCAGCTAATTTTTGTATTTTTAGTAGAGATGGGGTTTCACCATATTGGTCAGGATGGTCTCCATCTTTTGACCTCATGATCCGCCCACCTCAGCCTCCCAAAGTGCTGGGATTACAGGCGTGAGCCATCACGCCTGGCCCTCTGATGCACTCTTAAGATGACAACACCTTTATAATGTAACCTTCTATATGTAAAGAGAAGATGGCAGACGCAGTGGCTCATGACTATAATCTCAGGACTTTGGGAGGCAGAGGCAGGAGGGTCACTTGAGCCCAGGAGTTCGAGATCAGCCTGGACAACATGGCAAAACCCTGTCTCTATAAAAAATTAGCTGGACATGGTGGTGCACACCTATGGTCCCAGCTACTTGGGAAGCTGAGGTGGGAGAGTCACTTGAGCCCAGGAGGTCAAGTCTGCAGTAAACGGTGGTCGCACCACTGCACTCCAGCCTGGGCAACACGATGAGACCCTGCCAAAACAAAAAAACAAATAACAGAAACGAAGAAAGAAAACGATTCGGTTTCTCCTCTAACATGTTTAATCACAATTTAGTTTTATTACTTAAGTTTCTTTCAGGTAAAAGCTCCTTTGGGTAATATGTACATTTTTTTGAATTGTCATTAAATTTGAGAAAACTGCTTAACAAATCGCTTTTACATATGAGCCATAACAGGTTAGGGCTTGGCTGGGCAAGGTAGCTCACGCCTGTAATCCCAACATTTTGGGAGACTGAGGCAGGAGGATTGCTTCAGGTGAGGTGTCTGAGACCAGCCTGGGGAACACAGCAATACCCTTTCTCTACCGAGGCTGCCGTGAGCTATGACTGTGCCACCGTACTCCAGCCTGTGTGACAGAGCAAGGCTCTGTCTCAAAAAGCAAATAAAAAACCCCAGAACCCCAAAAAACAAAAAAATGAATTTGAGCTCCTGTTTTCTTGCTTATGACTAACCTGAAATCCTCTCTGAGTTGACACTTAGCCAATTTCGTCAGCTGTTGTGTCATGACCTGCCGCGGAGGGAGGTGGGTGTTTCTGGAAGCCATTTCTACGCCTCAGTGACTAGCGATGGCGTAACTATATCAGGAAGTGACTGTTCCCACGAAATCCAAGCAAAACGTACCCTCAACTCAACCTCCCAGGAGCTGGACCCCACAACGCCCCCTCCAGCTCCTGCAGCAGGGGAGGGAGTGACTGATGGCCCATTGCAGGCGGAAGAGACAGTTTTAGCTGGTTGTGGTTAAGATATTTCACTTTTGCAAATTTTACGAAATATACGACTCTGTAAATACTTTGCTGGGGCCCAAGCTGGGAAGAGGCTGTGGGGGTGAGGATCCTGTAACTGCTCCCCGACACTTCCTGGTGAGCCTGTTTCTTCTTGAGCCCCAAACCCTTAGGGCAGCACAGGCGCATCCCAGCAGAAGTGCCCCGCCCTGGCAGGGGCTGACATCCAGCTGGCAGCGGGTAGAGCCTTCAGCAGACCGTGCCTTCATTCCATTGGGCTGACAAGGGTGTGGGAGACCAGTGAGTCCCAGGGACATGAGCTCACTGCCATGCTCCTAGGCTTTAAGGTGGGTCAGTAGTATTTAACATGGTCCAGTGGGAGGTAAGACATTCCAAAAGCTTGGGCTAGAGGTGCTGGTGGAGGAGCTACAGGCAGGAACAGCAAAGCTGTATCCAGAGTAGGTGTCAGTTCTGGGAAGAACAATCGCTGCTCCTGCAGGTAGGAGGGACCCGAGGTATTTGCTTGTTTGTTTTTGAGCCAGAGACTCATTCTGTTGCCCAGACTGGAGTGCAGTGTCATGATCTTGGCTCACTGCAACCTCCACCTTCCCAGGTTCACGCGATTCTCCGGCCTCAGCTTCCCAAGTAGCTGGGATTACAGGCGCCCACCACCACGCCTGGCTAATTTTTGTATTTGTATTTTTGGTAGAGATGGGGTTTCACCATGTTGGCCAAGTTGGTCTCTAACTCCTGATCTCAGGTGACCCGCCCACCTCTGCCTCCCAAAGTTCTGGGATTACAGGCGTGAGCCACTGTACCCAGCTGGCCGAGGTCTTCGGTTTCTGCTTCTATGGGTTGGACATTCAGCAGTCAGTAGGACCACACAGAGCCACCATCCCTGCCACCATGGCCACTCTGTTCATGGGCCTTTGCATAAGCTAAACTTTGACATCTTTGCCAGCAAAGCCCAGAGTCTGGGCCCCTTCAAAGGCAGTTACTATTGTCTGCTCTTTATCCTGTGTGACAGTCACAGCATCCTGAAGTCAACATATCAAAGGGACACCTGCACCTCCTTGCTTAATGCAGCAGCATTCACAGTAGCCAAGATACGGATTCATCCTAAGATACAGATGGATGAATGGATACAGAAAATGTGGTACGTACACACAATAGAATACCCTTCAGCCACGAAAAGAGTGAAATCCTGCCATTTGCGGCAACCCAGAGGTCATTATGTTAAGTGAGATAAGCCAGGCACAGACATGGAATATTCTCACCCGTATGTGGGAGCTAAAAAAGTTAATCTCGTGGAGGTAGACAGTAGAATGACGGTTCCCAGAGGCTGGAAATGGTGTGTGTGTTTTGGGGTAGTGGTGAAGAGTTTGGTTAATGGGTAGGTGAACATCCAGGTACAAATTCTAAACCAGGCATGGTGGCTCAGTCCTGTAATCCCAGCACTTCGGGAGGCCCAGGTGGGCAGATCATTTGAGGTTAGGCATTCCAGACCAGCCTGGCCAACATGGTGAAGCCCTATCTCTACTAAAAATACAAAAAATTAGCTGGGCGTGGTGGCGCGTGCCTGTAATCCCAGCTACTCAGGAGACTGAGGCAGGAGAATCTCTTGAGCCAGGGAGGCAGAGGTTGCAGTGAGCCGAGACGACACCACGCCACTCCAACCCGGGAAAAGGGACGAAACAACACCAAAAAAAAAAAAAAAAAAGAAAGAAAGGAAAAGAAAAGAAAACTGGACACTTTGGAGCATATCTCGTCAGCTCTGGGTGATGACTGGCCAGTGCCGCTGTGCTTGCTGCTGCTCTTTCAGGCTGTTCAGTGCTTGCCTGGGCGGATTCCACGTGTCTGTCCCCCGCAGTTCGCAGCTTCGGAAGTCTCTGCTCAGCTCCCCCTTCTCCTTCTGTTTCAGAACTTCTGGCTTCCTAGAAGCCATGCTGTGTCAGCATAGTTTAGTGCCCCCCACCAATTGGTCAAAGGTTGGGTTTAAGCTCCTCAGGCCAACAAGTCTCTTGTAGGGTCCCTCAATTTCTCAGAATTTTTTTTTGAGATGGAGTCTTGCTCTGTTGCCCAGGCTGGAGTGCAGTGGTGCAATCTCAGCTCACCGCAACCTCTGCCTCCTGGGTTCAAGCGATTCTCCCACCTCAGCCTCCCGAGTAGCTGGGATTACAGGCACCCACCACCACACCCGACTAATTTCTGTATTTTTAGTAGAGATGGGGTTTTGCCATTTTGACTAAGCTGGTTTGGAACTCCTGACCTCAAGAATCCGCCTGCCTTGGCCTCCCAAAAATGCCCCGATTGCAGGCGTGAGCCACTGTGCCCAGCCTTCTCTCAATTTCCTTCTGTGTCCTGACCAAAAATCAGAGGGCCTTGACCATTTTGTGACCCATTAGCTGCAGGTTTTATCCAGCAGGCTTGAACTTAAACCGGGTCCTTGGACGTTCCCAGGCACTAATAAAGGTACCTGGGTCTACGAGAAGGAGACTGGCCTAGCCCTGAACCAAATGCCTTGAACCCACACATAAACTCCGTTCTCTGGCCCCCTTGGTGTGGGCACACCCTGGTGGAACACCCCTTATCTCTTGCTGTCTGGAGGAGTGCTGCAGCTCTCTATACCGAGGTTCCCCTAATTAATGCTCTGGACTAGTCACCCTGGTGTTTAGTACGTCTTTCTTTGAAACCCCAAAGGCTTCATTTTCTGATAGTTTGGGCACTCCCTTTGTGGGAACCCCCATACCGCTGTTTTGGGGCGATTCCAGCCTGGGGTTCAGTGGGATGAAGTGGCTCTGTCTTTTGCTGATGGATTTGTGTGTGGTTGGAAAGCTTTCCAATCTGCTCCGCATTTAGCAAGCATGACAGGCTAAATAACGACCCCAAAGATACTTAGGCCCAAATCACTGAAGCCTGTGAATGCACCTCATTAGGTGAAAAAGACTTTGCAGATGTGATTAAGTTGAGGAGCTTGAGATGGGAGACGATCCTGGGTGATCCAGGCGGCCCCTGAATGTCATTCCAACCATCCTATAGGAGGGAAATGGAGGGAGATTTGACTACAAGAGAAGGCTGTGCAGCCACCAGGGTAGAGATCAGAGGGATGTGTCTGCAAGCCAAGGAGTGCTGGCACACACCAGGAGCTGGAAGAGGCAAGGCACGTGTTTTCCTCTGGAGCCTCCAGAAGGAACCATGCCTTGTAAAAGCCTTGATTTTAGCCCCATGAGATTCAGCCTGGACGTCTGGTCTCCAGGACAGTAAGATAGTAAGTTTCTGTTGTTTTAAGCCTGCAAGTCTGTGGTGATTTGTGAGGGCAGCAAAGCCAGCATGCCTTCACCACTCAGCTTGGGTGCCCGCTCTGGCTGCTTTGGCTGGGTGCAGCCTGGCACCGTGCAGAACCTTCTGGACTCTCAGGGATGGATGCAGTATCTACAGGGCCCTTTCTTTGTCGTCTCTGTCCCTGGGTTTTGGTTATACTCCAGGCTGATCTGCCATTTTATTTGTGGTTACCACTTTCCTGCAGCTGTCAGCTTTTTCCTAATTGCTGTCCACTGAGCTTCCCACGCCTCCCATACGCCTTAGGCGTGACTTTCCCACACTGTGCTTCCTAAGGGAGGCGGCCCCCTGCAGCCACCGCCGTACGACCGCCTCTCACCGGGGCAGCATCTGCGGACCTGGGGGTGGACGTGCTGGCCTGCTTCTCCCAGAGTGAGACTCCTGTGCTGCTGCAGGTGTTGGGGGATGGGAGGCCTCATGTTCTCTGTGAGTCTCTCCCTGTGTGGTGCCTCTGCCTTGCAGCCAGGAGATGGGAAGAAGGAGCCCGTGTTCTCAGCTGCAGCTCCCGGAGCAGAGCCTCACTCTGTTGCCCAGGCTGGAATGCAGTGGTGTAATCTCGGCTCACTGCAGCCTCCACCTCCCATGTTCAAGTGATTCTTGTGCCTCAGCCTCCTGCGTAGCTGGGATTACAGGCACCTGCCACCATGCCCGGCTAATTTTTGTTGTTTTTAGTAGAGACAGGGTTTCACCAGGTTGGCCAGGATGGTCTCAAACTCCTGACCTTGGGTGATCCACCTGCCTCAGCCTCCCAAAGTGCTGGGATTACAGGCGTGAGCCATCGCACCTGGTGAGTAGAGATTTTATGACAGGGAGCTGGGGACTGGGGGGAGCAGGCTGAGCGCAAGCACCACAGATTCCCCCTGTTCTGACCAAGGCTTAGTATATGTTGTTAAATAAATGCTGCTTGCTTTGCCGTACGCCCCTTGGTCAATTTCCAAAGCCTTCTGGGTGTCCTGCCCTATGTGGGCTCTCAGGTGAAGACCGGGAGCACACAGAGTGTTGCTTCCCCACAGGCCAGTTCAGATTCCAGAGTGTGAGAACTGGACTCACCTCCCAAGGACCAGGGCAGCAGGCTCATCTAAAGTGGCAGCCATGGTGGTGATGTCAACTGAAGCATGGTGAGGTTCATGCATTTGGAAAGGACAGCTTTGTCTCTCATAAAGGGCTGCAGCCTGCAGGGCCTCCATTCTGGCAGGCTGGGAAACGTAGCCTCCAGTCAGAAGCCAAAAACAGATACTTCATGGGAGGGGCACGAGGAACAGGGATTTATGCTGAAGGGTGTGGCCAAATACATATTCAATAAGCTGTAAGAGGAGTCATGAATATTCATGAAACGAGAAGCACACTAACACACGACTGAGCTTCACGCCTCCCCATGGGACTCATGTTCAAAAAATGGCAGCAAAGCCGGGCACGGTGGCTCACACCTGTAATCCCAGCACTTTGGGAGGCCGAGGCGGGTGGATCACGAGGTCAAGAGATCGAGACCATCCTGGTCAACATGGTGAAACCCTGTCTCTACTAAAAATACAAAAAATTAGCCTGGCATGGTGGTGTAATCCCAGCGACTCAGGAGGCTGAGGCAGGAGAATTGCCTGAACCCAGGAGGCGGAGGTTGCGGTGAGCCGAGATCTCGCCATTGCACTCCAGCCTGGGTAACAAAGAGCGAAACTCGTCTCAAAAAAAAAAAAAAAAAAAGGCAGCATTATCGTGATCTGAGGGTGGGGTTTTCAGGCCTCCAGCATCAAATGGTGCAGCACATGACACGAAGCCTCTCCCCGTGCCAACCCCATGGCCACCAGAGCCACTCTACAGTCTCCGGCAGGTGGTCTGCCAGTGGTCTCTATCAGGAAGGAATGCAGGCTGGCAGGTGGTTTTGTCAAAACTTATAAGGGAGGGGCCATTTGGGAGGGGTGGGGAGTCGGTGGAAATCAGCTCTGGAGTCTTTGGAAGGGGCTGGTTTCTGTTTAGCCCTTAGGGAAGAAAGCCTAATGGTGGTTAGTGAGGGAGCAGGGATAATGAGACATCTGACCTCCCATCCCCTCATGGCCAGGAACTCAGCTTCCAAGGTTTCTGGGGTTCCCTTGGCCAAGAAGGAGTCTGTGCAGTTGGTTGGGGGGCTTAGGATTTATCTTTATTTCTCAGTGACTGTCTATGCCCAGTTGAAACCACTGCCCAGTTCCCTCTGGCAAGATGGGAGAGGCTGCTTCTGCCAACAAGGAGGGCTCAGGGTAGTTTAGGGGGTGCAAGATTCACATGTATCCACCAAAGTTCCCATCCCAGGTATCAGGCTGACTTTGCTATGCAAAAGGTGCACATGGCCAGGCATGGCGACTCACGTCTGTAATCCCAACACTTTGGGAGGCCAAGGCCAGAGGATGCTAGGACTTCCAGATCAGCCTGGGAAATACAACAAGACCCTGTCTCTACAAAATATTTTTTTTTGAGACGGAGTTTCGCTCTTGTTACCCAGGCTGGAGTGCAATGGCGCGATCTCGGCTCACCGCAACCTCCGCCACCTGGGTTCAGGCAATTCTCCTGCCTCAGCCTCCTGAGTCGCTGGGATTACAGGCACGCGCCACCATGCCCAGCTAATGTTTTGTATTTTTAGTAGAGACGGGGTTTCACCATGTTGACCAGGATGGTCTCGATCTCTTGACCTCGTGATCCACCCGCCTCGGCCTCCCAAAGTGCTGGGATTACAGGCTTGAGCCACCGCGCCCGGCTTTCTACAAAATATTTAAAAAATTAGCTGAGTGTGGAGGCATGTGCCTGCCGTTGCAGTTACCGGGGAGGCTGAGGTGGGAAGATTGCTTGAGCCTGGCAGTTCAAGGCTACATTGGCCATGAC